TTTAATTTTGGGGGTCTTGGCATTGCTCGACGTTGCTTTGGAGTCCGCACGCGTTTGCAACCTGTTTCAAGCGTTTGTTTGGTGGGTGGATGAAGCGTTCGATTTGTGTAGATTTGCGCGAAGCAGCGTGGAAATGTGACTTTGGAGGGTGTGGCAGGTGTGGTTATCTTTTTATTTTGGGGTCTTCAGATGAATCAGCAGGTTCCGGAGCAGGTTGCGGAGCATGTTCCGGAACAAGTTGCGGAGCAGGTTCCAGAGCAGGTACTGGAACATTTTTCAGGGCGCATAGGTTCCGGAGGAAGTTCCGGGACAGACGGGTGCAAGTTGCCAAGCAAGTTCCCGAGTGCTACTTGCTTGCATGATGTGCTCTGTCACGTCGACATTCATGTTGTCATGCTAACGGGCAGTGCAAGCAGGTATTCGGGCCCGGGGCCCGGATGACTTGTTCATTGTAGCATTGCAATGGCGACGTGGAGACACGCTAGTGCGCTCGCTACCGTGCTGACTTTTGTCGTGCTGGCCGGCTGCACACACCCTAGCAGTGGCAGGCTGAAAAGCTTGCCTGGGAGTGGGTTCCATGGGCTTTGCTCGGTGTATGCGCGAGAGAGAGAGAGAGAGAGAGATACCTCACATATTGCCACGTGGCGTGGGTTGCTGCATGCCACATGGAGCAGACCCACATGTCTCACAGTAGCGTTGTGTGGGGTGTTAGTGGATGTGCAGTGTTGCCATTGCCCTTCAGGTGCGTGGTATGTGCGGTTGTGTCTGAATTGTGAGCGCCTGCCTTGCCTGCCTTGCCTGCCTTGCCTGCCTTGCCTGCCTTGCCTGCCTTGCCTGCCTTGCCTGCCTTGCCTGGCTTGCGTGGCTTGCGTGGCTTGCTTGGCTTGCTTGGCTTGCTGGGCTTGCTTGGCTTGCTGGGCTTGCTTGGCTGGCTTGGCTGGCTTGGCTGGCTTGGCGGGCTGGGCGGGCTGGCTGGGCGGGCTGGCTGGGCTGGCTGGGCTGGCTGGGCTGCCCTGCCTGGCTGCCTGGCTGGCTGGCTGGCTTGCTTGCTGGCTTGCTTGCTGGCTTGCTTGCTGGCTTGCTTGCTTGCTGGCTCGCTTACTGGCTTGCTTGCTGGCTTGCTTGCTGGCTTGCTTGCTGGCTTGCTTTGCTTTGCTTTGCTTTGTTTGCTTTGCCTTGCTTGCTTTGCTTTGCTTGCTTTGCCTTGCTTGCTTTGCCTTGCTTGCTTTGCTTTGCTTGCTTTGCTTTGCTTGCTTTGCTTTGCT